TTTCAGAGAGGTGCACCTGTCTATATGTATCTACCATATTAAATACCACTAGTGTGTCAATAATATGTCGAAGTTTATTTCCTCTTTTTGATGATCTGCTACTTTATTGAAATCTCCCATTACTATAATATACATATTGTTGCTTTTTGCTTCACTAATCTTTGCTTTGCACCACTGTAGCAATTTGTTTCTATCTTTCCTATTTGATGCATCTGATATGTTGTATAAGGTTATGACCCTATTCTAAATATGTCCTCTAAATGCGAAATCCATCGCTATTCCTCAGTTAATGCATTCCTCAAACTTGAAAATATACGTGGCCCATTCTTTCTTAATTAGTATACTTAATCCTGTTTCATGTGTCTGTTGTGTTAGTGTCATTGACCATATCTGGCACCTTACTTCTTCATCATGCCATTTTTTATTTCCTAGTAGCCAGGTTTCTGTGATTCCCAATATATATATCTGCTGTTTCTGACTATACTCTAGTATTGCTAACTTGTCTGTTTTAATATTGATTCCTTTTACATTTAAGGTTCCTATTTTCCAAATGTTATGTGTCTCATTGATTTTGAATATTTCTTTGGTTTGCCTATTGTAGACTCTATTCTCTAGGGATTTCCTAATCACAGTTGTTTAGGAGGAAGAAGGGGGTCAGTTCGGAATACTTTATTTCATTGATGGATATATTCGGACAGTCTATTATTTCCTTCATGGTTGATGTTATTATCGATTCCATTTGGTTGATTCTCTTATTTATCATTTCTTATTGTTGTCTAATATCCATTCTTTTTGGTGTTGGAGTTCTAAAACTTAAGCTTTCTGGAGATGGCTTATTTTGCGTAAGCGAGTTTATGATTTCTGATCCTTTGGCTTTGACGTGAGGGCCTTCTTCGATAGCTGAGACTCTTTTGTCCATCATGTGTACCTGATATTTGATAACTCATATTTTGGCTTGTAGTTGTTTGAGGATTTCTAGTATTTTGCTTGTGTCTATTGCTGAGTAAGATCCTTTGGTTATACTGACATATGTACATTCTATGATAGGAGGTCTTGCTATTGGCCTTCTATTTTGATAGGTGGTGGGGGTTCTCTTCTACTGTTGGTTGTTAGTCTTGGCTGTCCAAATCTTTTGGTACGTTTTTTTTGTATTGTGTTCTCCTTTACTATTATACATTAGGTATGGTTATGGTTGTGGCCTCTGCAGGTGAAACACAACCTGGTTGTTTTTGTTACCCACATTAAGTTTGTGTTTTAAAGTTGCAGGTTTGTTCTTTTCACTCTGTTAAATTCCTGTTTATTTTTGTAATAGAGAATGGCAAACCTTTTATTTTGTTTCATTTGATTTAAAGGAAGGTAGATAGCTTTAGTCTCTGTTTGTTTGATAATGTTTTGAGTTCTTTTATAGAGTTTCCCCATGGGAGGTTTGCCAGTGTTGTACTATACTGGTTCTTTTTTTCTCTTGTGATGCGGGTTTTGACCAAGGGGAATGTCCTCATACAGATGGTTTCTGTGTATATGACCCATTTTTGAACTTGTTCCTCATATACAGTTGTTGTTTTGAACTGGACTGTTCCAGATTTAACTTGTCCAGCTGCTTGTAGAGTAATATATTCAATCTGTGTGCTGTCTTGAAAGAGATTGGTGATATCTTTTTTTTTGGAAGTGGCTGAGGATGTCCCAGACTCTGATGGAACAGTTTTTGCCTTCAGTGGTACCAATTTCAGGGGCTAATCTGAAATTGTAAATTTTATTATCAGTGATTTGGATCTCACTTGCAGCGATGGCCTTGTGGTAGCTTCCAAAAATAGCTGCAATTGTTGGTGATCCAATTCGTTTCTCTATACAAATGTGTTTTAGGATTTTTAGATACACCAATTTTTTGCAAATGCAATTAAGTTTTTCTTCAGTTAAGGAGCCTGATATTACTTTTGATTTGATGAACACCTTGTCTGGATGAAGTGTGTTGTGGTTTTCTTTGGTATCTGTTTGTTTTGTCTCTTCTGTCATCCCCTCTGGGTTGCTGTCATAGCTGAAGTTGTCTAGGGTAATATCATTCTGGTTTCTTGGGTTCTCTTCTCCCTCTCTTATCACTGATAATATTAAAATTACTATTATTGGTGAGATTGGTCTGGTTTCGATGTTTGTTTCCTCTGCTTGTAGTGCGGTAACTGAGATATCCATCTCTTGTTCTGGATTTTCATCTTGTTCTGTGGTTTCTGGCTCTATAGTTTTTGGATTCTGTGTGCTGACCTGGGGGTTCTCTGGTGTCTCCTTTGCTTCCTCTCTTCCAGTTGTTGTACGGTTTTTCTTTGTGCCAGTTAAATGATTGAATTTGTTTCTAAGTTTGGTTTTCAAGAATGGTTTGAAGATTTTGCTACTGCCTGTGATGATCCTTTCTCCTGTATAGTTAACCGTTGGGTCTTTTGCCCTGATCAACTTTCTTGACGTGTTGGTTAGGGGAGCTCAATATAAGTGCTTTGTTTTTTCTTCGATGTTTTGGATTGTTACTATAAAAAGAAATTTTCAAAAATTTGATGCTAGTGGGAAATAGTTTTTTTTTTTTAATTCTAAAAAAATAGTTCAAAGGTGGTTAAAAAATAATAAAATTGGAACTATTTCTTGGTTATAAAAATCTTCAAATTTAACTCCAATAGAAAATATCTGGAATAATATTAAAAGAAAAGTTAATAATTTATACATTATATTAATGACAAAAAAACTTTCTAGGATAATTTATTAGAGATTTGGAATGAAATATCTGAAAAAACGTGTAAGGAATATATAGAAATAATGTCTAAAAGAATTAATAATATATTAAGCTAAAAGGTAGTTATATAAGATAGTAATAAAAATCAAATATATTTGTACAATTATATATATAAATTTTTTATAAATAAATAAAATTTATTATTTTTTTAAAAAATTTCAAAAATAATGCAACAATAAATTTTAAAAAAATTATTATAATAAATTGTTTATTAATTTAATATTTATTTTAATTTATACATTATTTAAGCATACTTATATTCTATATATATTATAAATTTCATCATAATTTAATTTGATGTACTTAAAATTTTAGCATTTAAAGATTACTGATCAGGTGTTGCATTATTTTTGAGAAATGGTATAAGCAATTAATCTCATAGAAAAGTTGGGTTAGATAATAATTCATGATATTATTGATAATAAAAAATAAATCAACAATAAATTATTCATGATATTATTGAAAAATAAAAGATAAATCAACAAACTATTATCATTTCTAGGTCTGATAGACTATCTAAATTGACAGAAAGAGAGATTAGCTGTCTTGTAAAAACTGTAAAAGAAGATTGACAACAACTTTTAAATAAAATAATAGAAAAATTTAGTCAATAACTAATAATCTCAATAAGCTCTTATATTATTAATGTATTTTACATGATAAAAGATTTTATAATTAAGCTAAAAAAAGAAAATCTTTAGTATCTGAAGAAATCACAAAAAAGATTAGAATAGTGTTGTATTAGAAAATATTAGGATTTAGAATGGAATACAGTAATCTAGAATAATAAATCTTACTTTTTATTGTTTCAAAATGACTCACATCATTAGATTTGACAATGTCTATATGAAAAATATGATATAAATTGTCTAATTCCAACAGTAAAATCAGAAAATCAAGGTATAATAGTATGAGAATGTTTTACAAAAAATAAGATTGGAACTTTGATTCAAGTTTCTGGTAAAATTACAGGATCTATATATATTGAAGTCTTAGGAAATAATCTTTACCATTTATTAATGAATTAGATAATAATTTAAAATATATTGTTCAATATGATAATACTTCAGTTCATCAGACAAAAATAGTTAAACAATAGTTAGAAAATAATTCAATAACAAATATTTCTGACCTGCACAATCACCAGATCTTAAATCAATTGAGCATTTATGGGATATTTTAGAAAAAAGAGTTCATAAACATGATCTCCATCCAAAAAATCTTGCAGAATTAATGATTATTTTAGAAGAAGAATGGAATTAATTTGAATTAGAGAATTTAGAAAATTTAGTAGAAAGTATGCCAAGAAGAATTCAGGCTGTAATAGATAGCAATGGAAATCCAACAAGATATTAATAGTATTAATAAAAAATTCAGACTTTTATGAACTCATTAGTATAAATTTTATTTAAAGTTATTTAGTAAATTCTTTAATAATGATAAAAACAAAATCAACTTTGAATTTTAAAAATTGTGATGATCAACATGTGGTTGGATACTTTTGGCAGGCAAGTGTACACTAGGTAGTGAAAGGAAACTTTGTTCAAGTTGTCGAAACTCTTATTTGCTATGCATGCAGATAAGGATATGAAAAGAAAAGATGAAGATGTGAATGCTTGAGAAGCATTTCAAGAATTCTGAATTTTGATCTGAATACTCACGTGATTTTATATTCACGGTTGACTTATGATTTAATAATGCGACATGTGTTTTAATGGATAACCCAGTTACATACTCCATGAGTTCACCGTAAATGTAACGGAGTGGATGCAAAAATATAAATGTAAGAGCGAGTCGAAAGTATTGATTTTATCTTTATCCCTGCTAATTTTACTCTGGAATTTTGCAATAGATACCTTAAAACATTTGGCGGAAAATTGATAGCATATACTGTAAATGTATATAGGAATGCGATTTTTGTGTCGAATTGATTTATTTACTTTTGAAATTATAGGAGCACATTAAAGCCTTTTATTTCACATTTTATAAAATAATAGAATTTTATATTTTGGAGTATTTAAGTTGCTGATAAGGAAATTAACTATATTCGAGAAAATAAAGGGAAATTTCCCAATATAACAATATTAATCCACAACCTAAAAAAAGGGTTTAAGATATGTACGCGGAATTTTTGTTCTTTTTTCACAATCGTCTATATCAGAAAATTTGCGTTTGTTTCGTTATTCCATGATAATTCTAACACGTGCTTCTCCAATGAAATTTATTCCAGTCAGCTGAGTGTAGGTCCTTCATTAACATTTGGTGGTTCCCTAGCATAATTATAGCATCTCCCAGCAAAAGATCCAAAATATTCTTCCCAGTTGTCTTTACTAACGATTGCAGACATTGGCTGGTGAGGTTCAAGTTTTTCGGAGGAAGCTGATGTGCAAAGAATGAAAGTATCCTCTGGACTCGTTGCTTTTTCATGCTCATCTTTAAATCTTTCCTGAGAAATTATTTGTTTCACCAATTTGCATTGATGTGTCTCCGTTTGTAGTAGTCCAGTCCCTGCCATTTTAATCGAGCAAAAGCTATCTCCAGATTCAGCATTAGGTGCATTTATTATTATATGTCTCGCTTCTGTAACGTCAACTTCTCCATCCTGACACAAAATTTTTACATCTTGCTTATAAATTCCAGACTTGGTGCTGACCCTTTTAACTGATTGTTCCAACGTAAGTTTTCGATTGTATATGGAACTATCACCAAAATTATGCTTGGCACCATTATGAATGACTCTGAGTTTAACTTGTACATCATCACCATAGATATTCGATTTTAGAGAGCGAAATTGAGCAACAAAGTTCTCAAAATTTTGCCAGTATTGGCAACCGGGTGGTATACTTGGGCTCCCTGCTTTATTGCGTACTTCATTGTAATAGTTGAAATCTCAGTTCCGTAAAAGTTCATCATTTCGTGTCGCATGCGCCATTATGCATAGCCAAATATATGGACATGTGAGATATCCAATCACTTGATCCGTTCTTTGACTCTCAAATCGAACAAGACCAAATTGTGTTACGTCATCTACTGTTATTCCTTTCCCCTCAAATGTAGAAATATTTTGATTTTTGTCAACTTGTGTACGTGAAAGAATAATGCGAAGGACCGGTTTCAAATAAATGGTTTTACTTAACCATCCTTGATATTTCTTACTGAGATTTGATCGTACATCATTTATTAGATCAACAAAATTAATATTGTCCAAATCTTTCCCATTAATAGACTCTTCTAAAGCCTCCAACGCACGCCCATGACCACCCATATCGTTTATGAGCATCTTCATGACTGGATTATCAACAAAGACTGGGTTGCTGTTGATTCTCGGAGGTTGTAATGATGTCACTGGGAGAAAAACTCGCAATTGTTGTGAACTGGCAAGGAAATTGTGAATGAGCATGCTAATAGTAGCCGTACAACAGGTAATAATAAATGAACCAAGAAGTGAAAGTATACCAAGTGTAGAGATACAATCGTAAAAAAAGGATCCTTTGTCCGTTCCATCCATAGGTTTTTTCATTGCTATATGTACACCATCCAAAATAACAATCACATTCAGATCATTGATTTCTGATTGTAATGTTTGGAAATTCTACGCAACACATCTCCTGGTGTTACATTATGTCTATTCCTAAAATCATACCAAGATTCACCAGGCTGTTTTAACAACTGAAAGAGCATTCGATTACCAATTGCATAATCGCTATTAGTTTCTACCTCCCGAGATAGTTTGGTCCCATTTTCAAATGTTAGGTTAAATACAAGAGTAGACCTAAGTCGATTCTGTAAGTCAGCATCATTTGTACATTCAATTAGCAACTTCTGCAATTCTTGTGCAGTGCGAGATTTTCCTTCTCCAGCCCCTGCTAGAATGAAGTATTGTGGTATTCTCGTTTTATCAAGTTGTCCAGCCTTCCAAAATTTGAAATGATCACGAATAGCATCCTTAAATTCTTGTTTCAAAGCTTCTGAGGCTTGAAAGTCCCAAGAGGAACCATTACCCATGACAAGAGGTTGGGGATCACGATATTTTAATGTTTCAGGCAGGGTTCGTGCTGGAAAAAGAAAGAAATCAGATATTTTATTACTGCAAATTTCTTGTTCGAGAGATAAGACACCTACCAGTGGTGACAGGCAGTTGTACGATAATTCGGATGCTAGTACAGTGGGTATCGGACAAAAATATTCTTCAACAGTTTTGAATGGAGATAACATTATACCTTGGTATTGTTCTTTGATATTTTCGGCGTATATTTTGGTTTCCAGATCTTTACCTTCGATAGGAATATTCACGCTCCATAGCTCCAGATCGTTGGCGTCAACATTGACAAAGGTATTTTCCTTCTTCTTCTTGATGATATCCTTGAGATGCCCTATGGTCATTTTACGATCGATGTCGATCGGGAAAGAATTTTTAATAGCGTCACCTAGAACGAGACAAAATACCATTATTTCGTTGATGTCAGACATGGTTTTTCTTTTTTGCATTTTATATATAAAAAAGGTTTTTAGAAAAATCAAATGTTTCAATATACGTAATACGTATGGCGTATTATTCACTAATGCGGCTGGTTTAGGACCTGAGACTCGAGTCCACATGTGACATTTTATTCCGGATTACATAAAGATGTAATATTTTCTACCGCCACTGTGGATGTAATGTATGGGACTGTATCAACTGCCGTGGATTGGGTAATAATCAAACTAACTCAAAAAAGTAATAGCGAAGGGAAGGTGAAAGTGTTATTAAGTTCGTTATCACACTCTCTCCATTACCTAGAATCATAGAAAATCCGAATGCACGATCCCGGATGATCGACATCGTGCATACAATATAAAAAATTTATTGTAAAAAAATTTTTTTAAAAAATAATTCAATTAAAAAATTTTCAAATATTCATTAGAATTTTGCAAATAATATATCATTCGAAAGCTCTAATCGTAAGGAATCAATGATTATAAGATCATTTGAGTTTATTTATCAGTTATAAAGCTATAACTATTTTTTTTTAATCCACAATAAAATATCGCAATGGTGTGTCTTTATTGAGATATTGAGAAATACTTAAATATTTTATAAACTTTCACAAAGCGACTAACTTGTCATTATACATTATTAGTTAAAGGACTACATTACTTAAAAAATATGAAAAGTCCACTAAGCTGATTTGAACTTAACAAAACTAAGTCTAAACTAGATACTCTAAGTTAGATTTAGAGAACAATATTTAACTCTCCTAGTAACTTGGCATAGTGCCTCTAAGTCAACCAGGGTCATTGCCAACAGTATATCACTGTTGATTATCCCAAAAAATAATGAATTGCTAAAGTTGGTACTAGAAAAAAGGGAATGGGAAATGCAAATCAAAGTCTCCCAAAAGATTCTTGTATCATTTCACAGTTTTCTCTCTAAAGAGGTTTGCCTGATTAAGATATTCTCTAAGTTCATGATGTTTGAGGAACTTAGCCATTCCTGAAAGTGACTTTAAGAAGATCATTTGAGGAACTTATCTTTCTGCTGATATATGGATTTGCTTATTACTAGTAAAGCCAGCACTATATTACAGAAAAGTTTGTCTAATCGAAATAAAAAAATCTTTTCAAAAATTTGTCTGATCAGGATAGAAGCTTGGAGATCTTAGCTTTTGTTCAAGAAAGCCTTTTACCACCTGAAAAACTTATGAGAGATAGAAGTTAAATATTTTTTTTTGTACTTATCACACACCTTTTGGTATTATAATTGTTTTCTGAAGGTTAAACATATATGATAGGAGGGGATATTTTTTCTAAAACTTTCTTTTCTACATCACCAATAATATATCGAGACATGTGAGTATGATCAATAAGAGCTTGTTTATATTCCAAAAACTGATATATTTAATATCAGCTAATTACCTTTGGTAAGGATTTGTGATACTAAAAATTCAGGGTCAAACTGAGATAGGTAAAATTCTCTAGAAAACTATGAAAGTGATAGCTTTAAGAGGCCTACAAGTGACTGGAAGAGGAAAATAAGCCTTTCTGTCATCAAAAATCTCTATATACCTCATACTTCAAAGGTTAAATAGACCTTCAAGTATTTTACAGTCAGTTCTTCTTCCTTTGAGAACTTTCTTGCCATTGGTATCAAAGATGTTGTTTAATTTTTCTTGGTTACTAGGAGTCAAGTTTTTGAGTGAAGAGATTTGTAAACAATAGGGGAAGGGTAGATGTGACTCTTGAAGTCATACTTCAAATTGTTTTAAGAAAAGTATTAAGATTTTATTAGCAAGGAAGTATAAAAACTTCTTGTGAACATTTTTTTTATGTGTGATCAGAGGATCAGCGGAAAGAGTTTTTTATAGTTATAAAGCTATAGCTATTTTAAATAGTTATAACTTTATAACTAATAATTTAACTCAAATGATTTTACTATTATTGGATTTTTTATAATTAGAATAAAACTTTCTAATAGTATATTATTTGCTAAATTTGAATAGATATTTAATTATTCAAGAATTATTTTTTTAAATAAACTTTTATATTATATATATGATATTTTTTTTTTTTAAATGCTGGCTTTGCTATACTTTATTGAAACTCATAAATAGAAGGAATTAAGTTTAACTCAAACATATAGATTCAAATTTTCTATTTAATAAAGTAAAAACAATAAAAGATCTTCTTTAAGGATCATTTTACCTTGTGACTAGGCCACCTCTTTAAAGACCGAGAATTAGTGTATAGCTTCACTAATACTGAAATAAATTTCAAATATATATAAAACAAAATAAAAAAAAAAGAAAAATTATGTTTCTAGTTAAGTTCTGTTATTCTGAAAATTTGTTGAAGTTTAAGATTCATTTAACAAAATTATGTTCAATATCCTATCAAACTTCTCAAACTAACTATTCTTATAAATAAGGGGACAAGGATATATAAGCTTAAACAGGATAAAGATTTTGCATTATAAAAAAGGTACTAGAAGATTGAAGAAAATGTTTTAGTTTTATTTAACCATTATCTACCAGTTCTAGTCTTATTTTTTTCATATTCTATTTAGTATAGAATTTTCTATAGATATTCTTATAAGTAATGACAAGTCAGAATTTTGTGAAGGCTCTAGAATATAGGGAAGATAAAAAAAATAGGAAAGTTTGAGGCCCGTTATTTGCTAGTTTGTCTTTTTTTACCATTATGATAACTTCATCCTAGAAAGAAAATTTTTGATATTTCTGGTGTTTTTTTTTTTTTTTTAACATGCAACATAGCCCATTTTATTGAGATTTTATACAAATACGTGTTACTTTGTTCTATACAAACAATAGCATAGACATTTTTCTTATGCATCTACTGTATATGATTACAAGAAAACCAATTGTTACCTGATCTAAAGGGCTTGGACTTTCAAATCCTTGTAGCGTGTTGTCCTTTATAGGGACTAATGTGCCTAGGTGCCATTAGCATGTTCCTTATATATCTCATAGATGCTGTGAGTTCCCTTGAGGATGTTATTGATAATTTCGATAGGGTCTTTCTAGTTGGAGGTGTCGTGTTGTACTTTGTTACTGTTCTTCATTTGTTGTTTTTGCTTCTTTCACTTGCTGTTTGTGGTGATGCCCTGTTGTTTCTCCCATCGATAGAAATGGTCACATCTGTCTAACCATATGTTGTATGTCCAAAATCTGACACCGTTTATGATGCTTTTGATAGTTTCTGATATTCGATCAGTTTTAATATACTTGCTAATGGTCTTGACGATGTTTTTGCTGATCCCTCCCAACATGAGTCTGTTCCACATATTGTTTTATGTGATGACTGATGTGAGTTCTTGACAAATGTTACATTCAGCAGTTTTCTTCAATCTTGCAGTTATTTCCTGATGTATGGTATCGAGGATCACTGTTTTGATGTCGATTCTGTGTGAGAAGCATTTGAAAGGGTGTGAGTTATCTTTAACTTGGGGATAGGTGAAACAAATGTTGCGTTTGTATAGATCTGGCCTTCTGATATATAGCTTGTCCATAGTGGGAAGTTTTTTATTTCACAGTTTCATTGTGAAACTTCTTTGTGATTAATTCCAGGTGTCTATGTTTCCACTTACCAGCTTAGAGGGGTGAAGTTTCTGTGTTGATTCTTTCCAGTCAATGTCTGCGGTCTATTGTTGTGAGAGGTCATTGTTTCTATTGAGGGTAATCCAACTGTAAGTTAGCTGAGCTTGTCATATACTCTTGATAGCTTTTTTGATAGGTGAAGTAAGTTCAGTTTGTTTTTGGTAGTGGAAAGTAATGATGTTTGTATAGAGGATGGCATTATTGAGTTGCCCTTGGGCATCCACTGTATTGTTTATAGTATATTGGTATATTGTTTGGCGAGTCTGTCTGCTACGATAAAGGGATAGTCATCTGGATGTTCTTTTTTATTCCTTTTGATCCATTGAATAAGGGTTTAATAGTGTCTTGCTATGGTGCAAAGGTTACTGATTAATCATAATTCTTTAATTTTCTTTGTGTTTTTTTCTACATAGGAGTTGTATTCACTTATGAACAAAAAAGAGTCCATTTCTACTGTGATGAATGGTCTGGGTCCATCCAGAGCTATGGCTATGGTTGTGGCTATTATTTCTGCTCGATATGTAGATACTTATCCAGTTATTTATATACCTACCTTTGTGATGCTGTTTAGATCATGGATAATATTGATGCCAATGCCATATGCATTTGAGTTTCTGGCTGGGATGTAGACTTTGTCTATGTATATTTGAATGTTGTAGAATTCTTTGGTATATTTATAAATATTGATAAGGTGTTGTTTATCAGTATTTGTAAGCTTGATCACTTGGAAGAGGTCTCAAAAAGCGTGGGGGGTATTGTAAATCTCTATATGATCGAGAATTAGATTAGGTTCTTTGTAGAACCATGTAATACTATCCAGGGAGATTTATAAATGGTTTTTCCTTGAGGTGTCTTGGAAACTTCCTAACTTGGTGGTGTTGTGAACTGGTATTCTGAGGGAGGTATTTTTGA